TCATTGACGGTCAGACCGTAGCCTCATGTTGAGTTGACCAGTAAGATCGGCAGTCCCCTCCAGCGATAACCGATGGCGATGTGATCGATTAGGGTGCAACGCTGGGAAGAGGTTGGCGGTTTCCATGTAAAACTCGCTTCTTGTGCGAGAAATTGGTGCTTGCCAGGAACAGTCAGTGATCCGCGCAGAGTTGGCGATTTCTGTTGTCCGTCCCGGTGGCTGGGATTACATGTGGTCCGCCAAAAAGCTTTTCTGATTCGTCCAGGGATCACACTTGAGCATTGAAATCTCCGATGACTACTGCGATGTCCGTTGATCAAACACTGAAGTAATTGAGAAAAGTCCTTCTAGAACTCATCCTTGATTTCAGGTGTACTGCAATCGGTCGGTGCATACACCGATATGACGAACTAGCATTGACGCTTCGTTATGTAGCTGTTGACCCGTGCTTAACCATTGAGACGTATAGCGCACAGTCGGTTACTGACTGGAATCCAGTCAATAATCGAGCGCTCCGCCTTGGCACTTATCGCAATCCAAACACCAGCGACACCGCGAGCTTCGGATACCGAATCGCCTGACACACGAAAGGCGAAGCGTGAGGTTGAGGTTGGTTCAGGAGAACCCAGGGAGATGATTAAAGTAGGGTCTTGTATTCGTGTTTCGGAGACATACACTACATCTAAATGGAAGGTTTCAAGGGTTCTAGTCAAGACAGCTTGTTGATCGGTCTGGTAGAGTGTGTGAACATTGAGTGCAGCTAAGTGAAAAGGGGGTTTTGGTTTCAAAAATCTGATAATTTCTGAGTGGTTGATCTTCATCATCATCATTTCACAGCGAAATACGGTGAGGCGAACTTCACTGATCGCTGCCAAACTCGCAATGCATACAAGGTTAGTGGTAAAATTTCAGGTAGATAGGGATTGGACTTATTTTGAGGGAGGAGGAAGAAGGTGAACCTCTATGGTCAACACAGTACGCAATCGAACTCTGCATACGTACCGTT